ATACCCATGGTGTGGGTGTTAGTGACAACATAACCATGGTGTGGGTAGGTAGTTGTTTGTTAACCACATACCCATGGTGTGGATGGGTAGTAGTTCAACAGACCATGGTTGTGGGTAGTAGTTACAACATACCATGGTGGGGTGTAGTTACAACATTACACCCATGGTGTGGGTGTAGTTACAACATTCCCTTGGATGTGGGTAGTAGTAGTAGTACAAACATTACCCATGGTGTGGGTAGTAGTTACCCATACATGGCTGTGGGTGGTAGTTACGCTATACCCTGGTGGTGGTAGTAGTAACCACATACCATGGTGTGGGTAGTAGTTACAACATACCCATGGTCGTGGGTATGTAGTTACCACATACCCATGGTGATGGGTGGTTAGTTACCACCATACCCATGGTTGTGGCTTGTGGGTAGTAGTTACCAAAACCCATGGTGTGGGTAGTAGTACACGTACCATGGTGTGGGTGGTAGTTACCACATACCCTGGTCTGTGGTGTAGTAGTTAAACATACCATGGTTTGGGTAGTAGTTACCACATACCCATGGTCTGTGGGTGGTTGTTACCACATACCCATGTTGTGGGTAGTAGTTTAACAACCACCCATGGTGTGGGTAGTGTTACAACATACCATGGTTGTGGGTGTTAAGTTACAACATACCCATGGTGTGGATAGTTGTTACTACATACCCATGGTGTGGGTTGTAGTTACAACATACCCATGGTTGTGGGTAGTAGTTACAACATACCCATGAGGTGTGGGTAGTAGTTACCACATACCCATGGTGTGGGTGGTAGTTACCACATTCCCATGGTGTGGGTAGTAACCGTTACCACATACCCTGGTGTGGAGTAGTGTTACCACATTACACATGATTAGTGTGGGGTTAGTAGTTAAGCCACATACCCATGGTGTGGGTAGTAGTTACCACATACCCATGGTCACCACCTGTGGGTAGTAGTTACCACATACCTTGGTGTGAGGTTAGTAGTTACCACATACCCTGGTGTGAAGGTAGTAGTTCAAATTACCCATGGTCGTGGGTGGGTTAGTTACAACATACCCATGGTTGTGGGTAGTAGTTTACCAAATACCATGGGCTTGTGTGGGTATTAGTTACAACATCTACATAGGTGTGGTAGGTAAGTTTAGTTACCACTTAACCTTGGTGTAGGGTTGTAGTTACAACATACCCATTGTGTGGGTAGTAGTACCACATTACCCATCGGTTGTGGGTAGTGGTTACCACATACCCATGGTATGGGAGGTAGTTACCACATTACCATGGTGTGGGTGGTAGGGTAACCAATACCCATGGCGTGGGTAGTAGTTTCAACGCATAACATGGTGTGGGTAGTAGTTACCACTTTCCCATGGTGTGGGTAGTAGTTACCACATACCATGGTTGTGGGGTAGTAGTTTCCACCATTACCATGGTGTGGAGTGGTTAGTTACCACATACCCTTGGTGTGGGTGGTAGTTACCACATTACCCATTGGTGTGGGTAGTTAGTTTAACCACATACCCATGGTTAGGGTTGTAGTTACCAACAATACCCATGGTTGTGGGTAGTAGTTACCACATACCCATGGTGTGGGTAGTAGTTACCACATACCATGGTGTGGGTAGTAGTTACCACATACCCTGGTTTGGGTGGTGTTACCACATACCCATGGTGGGGTAGTAGTTACCCATACCTTGGTTGTTGGGTAGTAGTTACACATACCCATGGTTAGTGGGTAGTTAGTTACCACAACCCTTGCGTTATGTGGGTGGTGGTAGTTACCACATACCATGGTCTTGTGGGTGGTAGTTACAACTTACCATGGTTGTGGGTGGTAGTTACAACCATACCATGTGTGTGGGTGGTAGTTAACACCTTACCTTGGTGTGGGTAGTAGTTATCACATACCATTTTGGGGTTGGTTGCGGTAGTAGTACAACAATACCCATGGTGTGGGTGGTTAGTTACAACATACCCATGGTGTGGGTGGTAGTTACAACATACCATGGATGTGGGTAGTAGTTACAACATACCCATGGTGTGGGTTTAGTAGTTACAAACATACCCATGGTGTGGGTGTAGATTACAACATACCCATGGTGTGGGTGGTAGTTACAACATACCCATGGTGTGGGTAGTAGTTTCCACATTCCACAGTGGGTGTGGGTTGTAGTTACAACATACCCATGGTTGTGGGTAGTGTTACACACCATACCCATGGTTGTGGGTAGTAGTTAACACATACCCATGGGTGTGGGTAGTAGTTACCCAACATACCCATGGGTGTGGGTATTAGTTAAACATACCCATGGAATGTGGGTAGTAGTTACAAAATACCCATGGTGTGGGTAGTTAGTTACCACATACCCATGGTAGTGGGTAGTATTACAACATACCCATGGTGGTGGTAGTAGTTTTACACATTCCCATGGTGTGGGTAGTAGTTACCACATACCCATGGTGTGGGGGTGGTAGTAGGTACCACATACCCATGGTCTGTGGGTAGTAGTTACCACATACCCATGGTGTGGGTCCCCCCCCCCCCCCCCCCCCCCCCCCTACCCACCCTCACCTACCCCCCCACCCCCCCACACCCCCCCATGGTGTGGGTAGTAAAATTTTCATAAATGAGTGGTTTCTTGAAACCCATTCGATAGAAAAAATGGAGTTCTATCGAAATATTCATGTTTTTTGTCGACTAGTACAGTGAAATTGGCCGAAAATGGGGCTCAAAGTGGGCAAAATCGCCGATGCGTAAACATCGCCGAGACCGCTAACTTTGCGAGAGCATATTCCGTAAGTTTTCTATCAAATTTTCAAACTTTTGGTGTCCTTTATGATCGGGAAAAGATTCTCTATCTTTTCATAAGAGAAAATAATTTTTTTTTTTTAAATTTGGCCGACCCTGAGAACGAGTTTCGGAGAGGGCCTGTCGACCCTCAAAGGGTTAACTAGATCAGAGCAATATTGAACCAGATCAGAGCAATATTTAACCAGATAAAGAGCAATATTGAACCAGATCAGAGCAATATTGAACCAGATCAGAGCAATATTTAACTAGATCAGAGCAATATTTAACTAGATCAGAGCAATATTGAACCAGATCAGAGCAATATTGAACCAGATAAAGAGCAATATTTACTAGATCAGAGCAATATTGACTAGATCAGAGCAATATTGAACCAGATCAGAGCAATATTGAACCAGATCAGAACAATATTGAACTAGATCAGAGCAATATTGAACCAGATCAGAGCAATATTGAACCAGATCAGAGCAATATTGAACTAGATCAGAGCAATATGAACCAGATCAAGCAATATTGAACTAGATCAGAGCAATATTGAACCAGATCAGAGCAATATTGAACCAGATCAGAACAATATTGAACAAGATCAGAGCAATATTTAACTAGATCAGAGCAATATTGAACCAGATCAGAACAATATTGAACTAGATCAGAGCAATATTTAACTAGATCAAGCAATATTGAACCAGATCAGAACAATATTGAACTAGATCAAGCAATTTTTTAACTAGATCAGAGCAATATTGAACTAGATCAGAGCAATATTGAACTAGATCAGAACAATATTGAACTAGATCAGAGCAATATTGAACTAGATCAGAGCAATATTGAACTAGATCAGAACAATATTGAACTAGATCAGAGCAATATTGAACCAGATCAGAACAATATTGAACTAGATCAGAGCAATATTGAACTAGATCAGAGCAATATTGAACTAGATCAGAACAATATTGAACTAGATCAGAGCAATATTGAACTAGATCAGAGCAATATTGAACTAGATCAGAGCAATATTGAACTAGATCAGAGCAATATTGAACCAGATCAGAACAATATTGAACTAGATCAGTGCAATATTGAACTAGATCAGAGCAATATTGAACTAGATCAGAACAATATTGAACTAGATCAGAACAATATTGAACTAGATCAGAACAATATTGAACTAGATCAGAACAATATTGAACTAGATCAGAGCAATATTTAACTAGATCAGAACAATATTGAACCAGATCAGAGCAATTCTTCATAGAGTTCTTCTTTCTGAATACAAAATGAACCCAAATCTTTACCAAAATTAATTCTTCTTTCTTTCTTTCAACACACCGGCCGTATCCCACGAGGCGGGCGGCTCAAAAGGAAAAACGAACGTTTCTCCTTTACATTTTAGTAATATATACAGAAGAAGGGGTTACTAGCCCCTTGCTCCCGGCATTTTAGTCGCCTCTTATGACACGCATGGCTTACAGAATAAGAATTCTGTTCCACTTCCCCATGAAGAACCAAAAGTAATTATACTGAGAAAATTGTGTAATGTACTTGCAAAATCTAGATAGAGGAGGTCTCCTGGAACACAGGTCTTGTCATCTGGAGGTTCAGCTAAACACAAGCACAGAAGTACCAGCACAAACATAGCAACCAAAGTACAACAGCATTACAGTGGACCCCCGCATAACGATTACCTCCGAATGCGACCAATTATGTAAGTGTATTTATGTAAGTGCGTTTGTACGTGTATGTTTGGGGGGTCTGAAATGGACTAATCTACTTCACAATATTTCTTATGGGAACAAATTCGGTCAGTACTGGCACCTGAACATACTTCTGGAGTGAAAAAATATCGTTAACCGGGGGTCCACTGTACAAAAATTCTGGCAAGATGGTGATCGAGTGAGTTATGGCGAGTGTTTTCTTTTCTTTTTCGGGTTACCCTGCCTCGGTGGAGACAGCCAGCATGTTAAAAAGAAAAATTTTGTATGTGAGTTGAGGATATTGCAATTCAAAGTGTTATCTGAAGTGTGATACCAGCACACTTCTGGCAATAAAGTGGCTGAATGAATGATGGTAAATGTTTCCTCTTTGAATAGGCAAGGAAGAGGTCATCGTACTTCTGTTAAAGACAGCCAGTGTGTTGAAAACATATTAAAGAGAGGGGTTAAAATAACTAACCTGTTAACAGCAGCCAGAGCACCTTTGGTGACAGGCCCGGTGGTGTCCTCAGAACGGATGATTGCCAGAAATGGATCCAGGAATGTACTGGGGTCCATGGTGTCATCTGGACCCAGGGAGGTGACCGTAGTCCTCAACTCCTTCAACTTCATGACCAGCGGATCACGTTCCATGTCCTGCAAGGGAACAACTTACAAGATAGAAAGTGCACAGCAACAGTCAACCTAGCAGACAAAATATTTTTTTTTTTTATTATTAACACACTGGCCGATTCCCGCCAAGGCAGGGTGGCCACCAAGGCAGGGTGGCCACCAAGGCAGGGTGGTCCACCAAGGCAGGGGTGGCCCACCAAGGCAGGTGGCCCACCAAGGCAGGGGTGGTCCACCAAGGCAGGGTGGCCCACCAAGGCAGGGTGGCCCACCAACGCAGGGTGGTCCACCAAGGCAGGGTGGCCCGAAAAAGAAAAACTTTCACCATCATTCACTCCATCACTGTCTTGCCAGAAGGGTGCTTTACACTACAGTTTTTAAACTGCAACATTAACACCCCTCCTTCAGAGTGCAGGCACTGTACTTCCCATCTCCAGGACTCAAGTCCGGGCCTGCCGGTTTCCCTGAACCCCTTCATAAATGTTACTTTGCTCACACTCCAACAGCACACAAAACATCCACACCCCAACCGATAATAATAATAATAATAATAATAATCAAAAAATTTATTTTATCATGATACATGTTTGTACAAAGGAATATAACAATTGTATGTACATGCCAAAAGCCCCTTTATAATGCAGAGCATTTTGGGCATTTGGGGTCAAAACGTGCACACAAGACACAGTTAACCCATGGGGTCAAAAGAAGCACATGACCTAAATCCTGCCCAACGCCCTCAACTGACCTGCTGGTGTGACGACCAGCGGGGAGTTGACCGCTTCATGGCGGCCAGCAGTGGTGTTATCTCGCCCAGGAGGATGCGACCATAACAGATGGTTGGGCGACGGGTTGTCACCGGAGGAATCTGCAGCACCACGACCTCCTCGCTCGCTGCTGCTGCGGAGGGGCAACAACCCCCTCCGCAGCCCCCATGTCTGGGGTCGATCCTTCAACCATACTGATTCATATCACAACCTGAAATATAGTAATAATAATAATAATAAAAATATAGATAATTATTAATGAAAATAGCACATAATTATAATAATAATAATAATAATAATAATAATAACGACGACATTCAAAAGGAATACTAAGGTTTATCTTTGCGACTGACATTACAGTCCATACAAGACATAAAGGTTATTTTTACTCATTTTCACCATACATTGTACAGTCACTACAGAAACATCCTCATCATCCTTCAAAGGTATTTATTTCCCACACAGCAAAAATCGTATCTTGTATACACAGAATATAGTGTATGTGGTGGCGCCTCAGTGTACTGGACTAACGCAGGGAGGAACGGGTCAGTGGTAAAGGTGACGGTGGTGGATGACGATATTGTTTCGACTGACTACAGCAATAATATAATTCTGAAACCAATGAACTTAGTCTCTTGCTTATAAATAAATCAGTGAAGACACATACAACACACACACACACACGCACACACACACACAACACACACACATACACACACACATACGCACACACACACATACACATACACACGCACACACAAACATACATAACAAATAAAGAGTCAAGAGCTATAACTTAACCTCTGTAACCTGAATCAGGCGAGTACACACACACACACACACACACACAACACACACACACACAACACACACACACACAAAATTTACATAATATAAATTACATATACAAATTATATTCAAATCATATATATAAATTACCAATTCCCAAATAATACTAAATGCAAAGAAAATAATTAACTCTCCCATTTTTTTATGTTTACAATGATGGAATTTTATCCTGGCCGTTAACCCGGGGTATCGGAACTACACGACTCCCTAAACTGACCCACCTCCAGAGAACTGAAGAAAAAATAACCCGGGATAATAAATCTGAACAGGATAAAAAAATCCACTGAGATTAAAAAAACCCACCGGGGTTAAAAAATCCACCGGGGTTAAAAAATCCACCGGGATTAAAAAATCCACCAGGATTAAAAAATCCACCAAATTAAAAAATCCACCAGGATTAAAAAATCCTAATCCCTCTCACCATCTGGGTGACTGACCAAATAAGACAAATCCCTCTCCTCCAGAGGATTACACTCCAGGATTACTTAAAATAACTAACAACTCAAAAAAGTAATAAATCCCCCAGGATAAAAAAAAATTTAATCCCTCACCACCTGGATAACTGACCAAATAAGACAGTAAATCCCTCCCCCGGGGGATTACACCCCCAGGATTAACAACCACCCATGCTCAAAAAATTAATAAATCCCCCAGGGGGTAAAAAATCCTAATCCCTTTCACCATCTGGACACCAGACTAAGACATCATAAATCCCTGCCCCCCCCGGGGGCTACACCCCCTGGGACACCTCAAAGTGAACACACATCACTAATGCATCACCACAATATCCACGATGGCGAAAAGATGGATATTTGGGCGAGAAAATGGCTAAAAACTGGCGAGAACGGCGGTGTGATGGTGGACTCAGGTGACGTGTAGTGCTCCAACCTTCATAGGGACCATTATGATAAATATTTACTTACATTTTTAGGAATTTCTAACTTATTTAACCTCAAAATAAGTCCATTGGGAAGAAAAAAAATAATTAACATCATGTAATCTTAAAATTCCTTTAGTTGTGGTGATTTATGTATGTAAATATTGATTCAAATGTGATTTTATTAAGTGTTAGTTCTACCTTATTTTACCTCAAAAATAAGCCCATTGGCAAGAAAATAATAAATAATATATTGTAATTCTAAAATTGTGTCCATTTATTTGATTTATGTACAAATCTATTGATCTAAAAGTATTTTTTTTTAATTTATTAGTAATTTCTACCTCATTTAATACCAAAAATAAGCTCATTGGCAAGAAAAAAAAGGAGTAATATATTATAATTCTATATTTGTGCTCAGTTATTCTGATTTTTGTATAAAAATATTGATTTTTAGGAGATTTTTACACTAGTGGTCCTTATAAGTCAAAATTTTATATATTTATTCCTGTAATAAATTTTTTGTAATTAATGTATTGTAAATAAAATATTTTTCTCATGTATTAAATGCATGTTATCTTGTTAGCTGAGGTGGGATAACTAATGTTATCTTGTTAGCTGAGGTGAGATAACTACTGTTATCTTGTTAGCTGAGGTGAGATAACTACTGTTATCTTGTTAGCTGAGGTGAGATAACTAATGTTATCTTGTTAGCTGAGGTGAGATAACTAATGTTATCTTGTTAGCTGAGGTGAGATAACTAATGTTATCTTGTTAGCTGAGGTGAGATAACTACTGTTATCTTGTTAGCTGAGGAGAGATAACTACTGTTATCTTGTTAGCTGAGGTGAGATAACTACTGTTATCTTGTTAGCTGAGGTGAGATAACTACTGTTATCTTGTTAGCTGAGGTGAGATAACTAATGTTATCTTGTTAGCTGAGGTGAGATAACTAATGTTATCTTGTTAGCTGAGGTGAGATAACTACTGTTATCTTGTTAGCTGAGGTGAGATAACTACTGTTATCTTGTTAGCTGAGGTGAGATAACTACTGTTATCTTGTTAGCTGAGGTGAGATAACTAATGTTATCTTGTTAGCTGAGGTGAGATAACTACTGTTATCTTGTTAGCTGAGGTGAGATAACTAATGTTATCTTGTTAGCTGAGGTGAGATAACTGATGTTATCTTCTTAGCTGAGGTGAGATAACTAATGTTATCTTGTTAGCTGAGGTGAGATAACTACTGTTATCTTGTTAGCTGAGGTGAGATAACTGATGTTATCTTGTTAGCTGAGGTGAGATAACTAATGTTATCTTGTTAGCTGAGGTGAGATAACTACTGTTATCTTGTTAGCTGAGGTGAGATAACTAATGTTATCTTGTTAGCTGAGGTGAGATAACTACTGTTATCTTGTTAGCTGAGGTGAGATAACTAATGTTATCTTGTTAGCTGAGGTGAGATAACTGATGTTATCTTGTTAGCTGAGGTGAGATAACTAATGTTATCTTGTTAGCTGAGGTGAGATAACTGATGTTATCTTGTTAGCTGAGGTGAGATAACTAATGTTATCTTGTTAGCTGAGGTGAGATAACTACTGTTATCTTGTTAGCTGAGGTGAGATAACTGATGTTATCTTGTTAGCTGAGGTGAGATAACTAATGTTATCTTGTTAGCTGAGGTGAGATAACTACTGTTATCTTGTTAGCTGAGGTGAGATAACTAATGTTATCTTGTTATCTGAGGTGAGATAACTACTGTTATCTTGTTAGCTGAGGTGAGATAACTAATGTTATCTTGTTAGCTGAGGTGAGATAACTGATGTTATCTTGTTAGCTGAGGTGAGATACTAATGTTATCTTGTTAGCTGAGGTGAGATAACTACTGTTATCTTGTTAGCTGAGGTGAGATAACTAATGTTATCTTGTTAGCTGAGGTGAGATAACTAATGTTATCTTGTTAGCTGAGGTGAGATAACTAATGTTATCTTGTTAGCTGAGGTGAGATAACTACTGTTATCTTGTTAGCTGAGGTGAGATAACTACTGTTATCTTGTTTAGCAGAGGTGAGATAACTACTGTTATCTTGTTAGCTGAGGTGAGATAACTACTGTTATCTTGTTAGCTGAGGTGAGATAACTGGGGACACAACAACAAGGGGACACAGCAACAAGGGGACACAACAACAAGGGGACACAACAACAAGGGGACACAGCAACAAGGGGACACAACAACAAGGGGACACAGCAACAAGGGGACACAACAACAAGGGGACACAGCAACAAGGGGACACAACAACAAGGGGACACAACAACAAGGGGACACAACAACAAGGGGACACAACACAAGGGACACAGCAACAAGGGGACACAACAACAAGGGGACACAACAACAAGGGGACACAACAACAAGGGGACACAGCAACAAGGGGACACAGCAACAAGGGGACACAGCAACAAGGGGACACAGCAACAAGGGGACACAGCAACAAGGGGACACAACAACAAGGGGACACAACAACAAGGGGACACAGTAACAAGGGGACACAGCAACAAGGGGACACAACAACAAGGGGACACAACAACAAGGGGACACAACAACAAGGTGACACAGCAACAAGGGGACACAACAACAAGGGGACACAACAACAAGGGGACACAACAACAAGGGGACACAACAACAAGGGGACACAACAACAAGGTGACACAGCAACAAGGGGACACAACAACAAGGGGACACAACAACAAGGGGACACAACAACAAGGTGACACAGCAACAAGGGGACACAACAACAAGGGACACAAACAACAGGGGACACAACAACAAGGGACACAACAACAAGGGGACACAGCAACAAGGATACACAACAACAAGGGGACACAACAATAAGGGGGCACAACAAAAAAGGGGAAAACAACAAAGGGGACACAACAAAAAGGGGAACCCCCACAAGGGACACACAAAAAGGG